TCTTACTAGAGTGACTTATTGAATAAAAGTGAATCAGGTTATTAGTGGTTGTTAATAATTCCTCTCTGTGATCTTCCAGTACCATCAAAATCACAAGGACTGACTCTTCAATCCAAATTTTAGGAAACTGGGAGACCAGACGGGCGCCATATTCCCAAATGAGTAGAGCCTCCACTTCCTGATGACTTGTCTTCCGACGTGATACAAACAACATTTTGATGATGTTTCTAGTTTTGTTGACTAAAAGTGTTCATTGTAATGGAGAAGATGGGGATAATCAGCAAGAGTCACAGTTATCCAGAAAAGGAAGGAAGGATAATGAGGTGGAACTTCACTGATGCATTTCACACGTAATGTTGCGGAGGCTGCTAAATTAATCCCTGACGAGCTTTGCTTTTGTGAGTGATTGTGGCTCTCCCTTTGGCTGGTGTGAGTCATCCCAGAGATGCTGCAGACGGAGAGGAAGTGTGCTCCACCGAAGAGGGCTGGTGGGAGCTCGCAGGGCAGCCTGCACACGGTGAGGACAAGCTTTAGTTACTGGGCTGTGAAGCCAGTGGATTATTCTTACGGTTTATTCTTGTTCGGATGTTTATTCATTTTCTCCAGGAGGAAAAGAAAAAGAAAAAGCCATTTCTTTGCCAGCCTAGCACCATCAGGAGAGATCTAGCTACACTCATAATCATTCACTTTGTTTGGGCTATGTATAGAATCACCTGGAGAATTGAAAAAGTATTGGTTCCTGGGCCCTTCTCTTGACCAATTAAACCGTATCCTTGTGGGGAAGCTTTGGTATTTTATAATTTCCTACGTGATTCTAAGACAAAGCCAGGGTTGAGAATGTAGTGATGTATATGTTGGGATTGTAGGCTGAATTCAACACTCTCCCGAGAAAAATGATTTCAGGAAAACCTGCTATCAGCGAGCCCCCTTGCCGTCCACCACTGATGCTAACTGGACACAGGCTAGGCTTTGAAGTTACCCTTGGTTCCTCCCTTTATGTCGATAATTGGAGTGAAAAGAATTTGGAGCGATTTTAAAGTGAAAAGTATTCCTCACCAGTTATACATCAAGATCAAAGTGTGTTTCCTTATCTGAGGGGTTCTGACCAAGTCAAGAAATGAAGGGTTCAACTTCTCGCCAACTTCCTCATCGGGTCGGAGGCTCTAAGAATAGAAACAACAGGAAGGGCTTTGTATATTTACTGTTGGTGTCCCCGTCACCCAGGGACGACGAGGATGCCTCACAAGTGCTGAGTGAGTATTGCACGTCCAGGACGAGCTAAGCCCTTCACACACATCTGCTCACCTCGTTGTTCCAGCAACCCCACAAGTTAGGTTCTGTCTTTCCACCCCATTTCACAGAAGAGGAAGCTGCGCCACAGAGAAGGGAGGTAACTCACGCACCGTTGATAAAGCACGGGGGGGGGGAGCCAGCCCAACAGCCCGGAGGGTTGACACTGACACGCCTCCTCTGCCCACTCGGACCGTGTGTGGTTCAACGGTCAGGAGGCTGTGCTCTGAGACCCCGGGACTCAGGCCAGC